TTGCTCAATGCATCTTTAGTAATATTTGTACCTACTACAGAAAGAAATTCCAAGTTTGAACAGTATTGTACAATTTCATCAATAACTTTATCAGTAACAAGACGGCAACACCTGATATCAAGATACTTTAATTTTTTACATGAACGTACAATATTACAGATAGACGCATCAGAAGCATTACAGGTACCAATATCAAGATGTTCGAGCTTCGGGCAAGAGTTAGCAATATTACAGATAGATGAATCAGTAATAAATCTACACTGATCTAGTTCTAGGGATTTTAAATTATGAATACGTTGTAACAATTTATTAACCGAATTATCAGTAATATTATGACAACCCTTTAAAGAAAGGTGGTAAAGATTAGAACATGAGCAGACTATCGCAGATATTGTTCGATCAGAAATTGGTTTATACCGTTTTAATCCACCAATACACAGAAGCTCTAATTTACATGCTTTTACTATTTTATATACGAAATCGTCATTGATGTTCCCGCAAAAGCCAATATCGAGATTGCGTAGTTTTTGGCAAGATTGAGCAATTTTATATATGAAGTGACCAGTTATATCTTGGTTACCGCAGACATTGAGAGATTCTAAGTTGGGATATGATCGGGCAATTTCTATAAGTGACGCATCAGTAAAACTTCTACTTTGTTCAAAATTTAGACTGATTATATTTGGATATGAGCGTAATATACTTAGAATTTTGTTATCCGAGAGTTTTGGATAATCTGTAATTTTGAGACTTCTTAGGCTTGAACTATAAGATGTTTTCTGTTTCTTACATGCAGACTCTAAAAATTTTTCCAAAAGAGCGATATTTTCACTGGAGGCAGATGCCCTATCTCCCACGAACTCGAGGTGAGTAACTTCATCGCTAGCATCAATTTCGTTTTCTTTTATTTCAGATGGCATTTTTGCAAGTTATAATTATAATAATATACATTCAAAGAAGAAAAATATTAATTGTTAACTTTTTTCGGCAAAAGCCTGGCATTCTCTTGTTTCAATAGATCTAGTT